GGGCCATCTGCAGCTTTCCAACTGCCAGTAACCTTCAACAACTGGATCTTGAGCTTTGTTCAGAAGTTTAAAATGTTGCATCGCAGCATACTGCTGATCTTGAATCATATCCAGGGAGATACTTTCTCTAATCTGCAGGTACTGATTTGAATCTTCTTGAAAAACAATAACACACAATCACTGCCACGTGGGAGGTGGATAGGAGTGGGGGGAAACATGATTTACCCTAAATATTTCTTTAAAACTGGAGAAATAGACATCTAATGCCCAAACTGGATATGGGATCTTAACCATTGTGTCACGGAAGTGCAGTGCTCTTCTGTATTCAGGTTGGTTATCTGCACTGTGGACTTAAGCACTTTGCAGGCAATTCAGGTTATGTGCCAACCACACATGCACAGACCCCAGTCAGACACTTCAGGTTCTTTTGGAACAGGAGGCATTATTTCCAATTGTAAGTGTTGCCTTTGGAAGTGCGTGGCTCCTTTTTCTCACTTGCCCTAAATTATTTTTTTATCCTTTTGGGACATCAATCTTTCTATTAATGGATTTGAAAAATTAAAAGTAATTATAAAGCTTTAGTACAGATTGAAAGTCAGATAAACTTGTTAGGCATTAACAATATCACCAGGAGAGCACTTCCTATAGGGAATTAGTAGGGGTGGGGAGAGAGAGTTTGGAGTCTTTCTTGAATTATCACTATGCTGTGTAATGAAGCAGAAACTTACGCTGCCATGAACTAATTTGCTATGGCTCCTCATGAGGTTGGCAGTCCAGCTGGAGAGAGGCTGAGACATTACGTTTAAATTAAAAAAAAAAAATTAAATGCCCTTATTTAAAATTGTAGATTTTAAATGTTATTTTTGTTGAAAAGCCATTAGGTTTTAAATCAGTTGTCTGATATATATGTAATTGTCAGTGGTTACCTCTTTCATTTTTTTGTTTTGTTTTTAACATCTTGAGCACAGACAAGAAGAAAGTGACTAAATATCAGCAAGTGATGCTTTTCACACACTCTAGCAGCCTGCTACCAGCTGTACTGGCAGGATGCTATGCTTCAGATCTATGTAAATGAGAAATATGTTTATCACAAGGGTGCTGAGCTGTGCTTCTGTCTTGATTCCTTAATTTTTAATGCATAATGATTCTGTTGAAAGCACTTCTCTTCCCATTTTTCTTTAGACTTTGCAGCGTTCATTAATAAGGACACAAATTTAAGGTGCAATGCACTGCTGCTGTATTTTTTATTTATTTATTTATATATATATTAATAAATATATATATATATATATATATATTTTTTTAATGCGGTTTTCATATATATATATATATATATATATATATATATATAAACCGCATTA